AAGAGATGAGAATTTAATTTGTCCCACAATTTCACAACGTGAAAGATCCTTTAACACACTCATAACTCGACACTATACATCAAATCAAGACGGAAATCAAGCACCCAGTGGCCCCTTCTTGTCACGTTCAAACATTTAAACACATTCCACAATCGCATCATAATCATCATTTAGTCATTCCACCACTAGTCGAGCCACAAATTTCACTCATAGGGGCACTACTCGACACATAAGTCCAAATGTACAAGTTCATACAACTTAAGCTACCGAGCTTAAGCTGCGGTCGAAACCTAGCCTCAAGTCCTCCAGAGTGGCCCATTACCAAAACACAAAATACACATCTCGAAAATCGTTCATGGAATCACAAGCCGGCGATGCATATGTGATACCTAGCGCTCACATGCGCACAAGAATGTGTGGAAGGATTTCAAAGAGTTGTGTTTCAAGATGAATCAATTCCGCATGATGAGGAAAGAAAGATGGAAAATTATCCTAAATGCCCTGTAGCCTCTCGAAGATAAGTATGGACGTCATTATACCGATCCGCAAGACTCTACTAGATACTTGCTCATGACTTGTAGAACCTATGAACCTAGAGCTCTGATACCAACTTGTCACGACCCAAAATCCACCTAGTCGTGATGGCACCTAACCCAACTCGTCAGGTAAGCCAATTAACCACTATCCAACTTAATGAAGTTTATTAAGATAAGAAATGATATCACACCACTTTTATACAAAACCTTCCCAAGGACTGGTAGTATAAATCATAAGCTTCTAAGATTAGAATTTACAAAGCTGGTATGAAATAAATACATCATCTATTGGAAATGTACATAAACAGATTTTTTTATTTTTATAAATCTAAGGCTACCATGAACAAGAGGCAGCTACGACCGGAGCACAAGTACGTCTTCAAATCCAGCTCTCGTCGATCACAGCAACATCAACAACCAATATTTGCACGCAAGGTGCAGAAGTGTAGTATGAGTATAATTGACCCCATGTACTCAATAAGTAACAAACCTAACCTTAGGTTTAAAGTAGTGACGAGCTAGAACTAAGGTCGAGTCCAACACCTATAGCCAACAACAGTCCATAACAACGTAAAGCAAGTAATAAAAGAAGTAACTCAAAGATAAAATGCTTAGCTTAATCATGATTTCTGAAAATAGTTCTACCTCTCAAGTGTATCAGTGAAAACTCAAGTCTTTTACCGAAGTTGCCAAAAATCCTTTTAATAATAAATAAGATGTTTCATTTTCTTTCAGATAGCCAGTGAAAAATGCATCACTATGCCCATATGTGTGAGAAGTCATAAATGACGTGATACCGTGCAACATGAGGCATCTTTATGCCTGTATGTCAAATGTGCATGTCAATACGATGCAACAGAGGGATAAAACCATATGCATACTCTCAGAGTATCATTTCACTCAGTCCTCCCAGCCACTCAATCCTCCCAATCACTCGTACTTAGTAGGTACTTACGCTCACTAGGGATGTGTAGAGACTCTGGAGGGGCTCCTTCATCCCAAGCACTATAGCAAGGCAATCATGGCATAAANATATATAAAGCCAATATGGCCTGCTGCGGCGTGCAGCCCGATCCCATAATCATTCTCACAATCAGGGCTCGGCCTCACTTAGTCATCAATCTCTCCAGTCTCTCGGTTTCTCAATGTCATGAAAACAATCAGCCCAAAAATAATGATGTGATGTATCAATAAATGGTAAAAGAGACTGAGATATTATATGTATATGAATGCGTATGGCTGAGTATGTAAATGCAATATAAGCAGATAACTCAACAGCAGAAATGACCGCAGTAGGTCTCTACAGAATAGGCATATCATATAGACATGGTTTCTAATATGGATCACATCTCAATAGCTCAAGTACGTAGAGATTTCATGGTTACAGATATGATGAGGTAATTACACAGTACCACATAAGTAATAGAGGTACAATTCATACGGTGCATGCCCACATGCCCGTCACCTAGCATGTGCGTCACCTCCAAACAATTCACATAACACTTATAATCAAGGTTCATACCCTCAGCTCCAAGATTAGAGATGTTACTTACCTCGAACCATGTAATTTCTTACTCTGCTATACCCTTGCCTCGTGAATAGATCTCCAAACATCCCGAATCTAGCCACAAGGAGTACAATACAATCAATATAGGCTAAAGGAATCAATTCCACAAGAAAATATAAAATTATAGCCAAAAATCTGAAATCGACTCAAACCTGGCCTCCGGGCCCACATCTCGAAATTCGACAAAAATCACAAAATCCGAAAGCTCATTCACTCACGAGTCTAACCATACCAATTTTACTCAAATCCGATAACAAAATCACATTCAAAACCTCAAAATTCTAGTCCAAGAACTTTTCCATCTTAAAACACTAATTAAATGATGAAAACACTTATTAAATGATGAAAACAATTATGTATTCCTGTATATTGACCAAATCCTAGTTAGAATTACTTACCCCAATGTTTTTCCTTGAAAATCTATAAAAACACCGCCTCTCCCCAAGCTCCAATTTGTCAATAATAGAAAATGGGACGAAGCCCCCATTTTATAACTTAAAGTTTATGTCCAGGCGCTGCGCTCGATTTCCAGCCTCGATTTTCTAGCCTCGAATTTTTTCCAGCCTCGATGTTTTTTCCAGCCTTGATTTTTCCAATAGAAAAATTTCAGCAGTTGTTTAAGTCCAAATTTTAATCCGTTAACCATCCGAAGATCACTTAAGGCCCTCAAGACCTCAACCAAATACACCAATAAGTCCTAAAACATCCTACAGACTTAGAAGAAACCTCAAATCACATAAAACAATGCTAAAACCACGAATCATACCCCAATTCAAGCTTAAGGAACTTAAGAATTTCCAACTTCTACATTCGATGCCGAAACCTATCAAATCAATTCCGATTGACCTCAAATTTTTCACACAATTCATAAATGACATAACAGATCTATAAAATTTTTTAGAACTGGATTCCAACCCCGATATCAAAAAGTCAACTCCTCGGTCAAACTTCCCAAATATTCAACTTTCGCCATTTCAAGCCAAATTTCACTACGGACTTTCAAATAATTTTTCGTACACGCTCCTAAGTCCAAAATCACTATACGTGACTATTGGAATCATCAAAACTCCATTCTGGGGTCGTTTACATATAAGTCGATATCCGGTCACTATTTTAACTTAAGCTTTAAACCTTGGAACTAAATGTTCCAATTCATTCTAAAACCTCACCGGACCCGAACCAATTACCCCGGCAAGTCGCACAACAACTGCAAAGCACAAATTGAGCAGTAAATGGAGGAACGGGGTTGTAATACTCAAAACGATCGGCCGGGTCGTTACAATAGAGTTTTAACTTAGCAATTTCTTTTCATATTTTATAATTGGTGTTCGAATTGAAATTGTCAATCAATAAATTTTGAAGGTGTTTTGACATCCATTAAAAGGTTCAAAGCTTTGAATTCAAATTTGGATTTTCAAAAATAATTATTTTTTATATTGGGTGTTGTTGCAAACAATTGAAAATATTCTTTGGAGTTTGTATCTCAATTTTGAGGGTGTTTGGTGAAGATTAGACTTGATTTTGGCTGAATTGCAGATTGAAACTCGAAGAAGAAGAACATATGACATACAATATACTTACGAAATTATATTAAAGTTGTATGTAAATTATATTTCAGTTGTATTATGTTGTAATTGTATATATATTTTATTTGAATATTGTATGAATGTTGAAAAATAGTTGTATAATATACGAATCGTTGTATAAAATTTTTAAATAAGTTATAAATAATATCTTTTTACAAAAAGTTATTGATATGTATCAAAATTGTATTAAGAAAGCAAGTTTTGATTGAAAATTCAGAGAAGAAGAAGAACACGCCAGATACAAAATATATACAAATCATATAGTATAAAATACATACAAAAGATATATTGTATAAAATTTGTATGAAAATTGTATTTAAGTTGTATAATATTATAGTTGTATTTAATTGGGTAAAAATAATGTAGGAAAGTTGTAGATAAGTTATAAATAAGTTTTATGCTATATAAATAGTTATATAAAATACGTTTTTAGTTAATAAGTTGTTGTAAATGTATCAAATCTGTACGATTTTTATTTTTAATTTGATATTGTTATACCATGCAATTGTATATTAAGCATCATTGATTTGATCGAAGCCCTCATGTAGTACTCATGATACTACAGTTCGAAGTATTGACACTATTAGAAAATCTATTTTTTGATTGCGAATACGGTCGGAATGCGGTCAAAAAATGCTAATTTCCGACCACATTCAGACGGAAATAACGCAGTCACAAAATAGCTGGCCTGAAATAGTTTGCGACCGAATCTGTGCGTAATTTGCGACTACATCGGTCAGAAAGAGAATAAAAAACGACTAACAAATGTTGTCAATTGTCCGACTGACGCGGTCGCAAAATATTTAAATTAAATTTTAATTCTATATTATATTTCCCACTACTGCGGTAGCAAAACATAAAAATAATTATAATTTTATATAATTTTTCCCACCATAGTGGTCACAAATATTAAAAAGTATTTTTATTTTATTTAAGATTTTCCACTGATGCAGTCGCAATTCTAATTTAATATTATTTATTTATTTATATTTCCCACTACTGCGGTCGCATAACTATTTTAACATTATTTATTTATTTAATTTTCCCATCACTGCAGTTGCAAAATGTTATAATTCTCGAAAACTTAAAAGCATTTTGCGACTACCTTAGTCGGAATTCAGTCGGAAAATTACAAATATTTTGACAAATGTTGACTGTTTTAAAACACCACCACCTGTCAATTCAAAATTACAACAACTAAAGAATTAATCCACTATTCCAACTAATTAATCCACCATTTCAACTAATCAAATACATAAAATGCAAACAATTATAGAAAACATAAACATTTGTAACTAAAACATCCAAACACAAGTTAAACATCCAAGCACCATTCAATCAAATCTTAACATTACAGTCATAGTCAAGTCTAAACATTTACCAAGTTTACATCCAACCATAACAAATAATAATGTCTCAAACATCACAACCACGACAAACTAAAACTCATTATCCCCGCCATGTTCGTCATTCAAAGGATCAACTTGACGCATGCTCATAAGTTTCTCAACTAGACTCTGCAATTTGTTAAAATTTACACGATCTTCTTTCCGTTCCTCCTTTAACTCTTCAACTTCTTTTCGTAATGCTTCAACCTCTTCACGATCCTGCGAATAACTCGTATCACCAGACAACAATATCGTAGGACGACCTACGGAATATTGTGATCCAAGACCGTAGGTTCTACCTTTCTTTGCATCGCCAACCACCTGCGTCCATATTGAAGCTACATCATTGAGTGACACTTGGGTTGAGTTACCATCCTCGAAATCGGGTTGACTTTGACGCCATTCCTCCAAAAGTTTTTGATAGGCTTCCTGAAATTAAAATGTTAAGAATTAAGAAATAAAGACCTAATTGTTTCCACCAGGGAAAATGCAATGCCACCGATAAAAAAATTTCTAATTTCTCTGTTATGCCTAAAGCCATACCTGAACTCTTAATCTAATATGTTACATTATACCTTATCCTGTTTAGGTAGCTATAGAAGAATTCCTCTCATTCTACTAGCCAATCATTATCTTCGTAGGGATATACTCATATTCGAGCGAATGTAAGAGCTATAAGAACAAGCTACACATATGACCAATCTAGTGAAAGTTTGACAAACAAACGTTTTTTTTTTTTTTTTTTTTCTGGATTCAGATGTACAGAGGTCAGCTGAAAGATGGTTCATACATTGTAATTAAATGCCTGAAAATGAAACAAGGCAACAATAGTCAAACTGCTATGCATCAAAAATTGAACAAACTTTTCAAGAACACAATAGCCATATATACTGTCAAGACTTACAATCTATTGATGTCAGTGAGAGAGTTTTCACATCATAGGTGTGAATTCTATTTTCATTATTCTTTCCCTAATCTTCTTATGAATAGACATATATCAAACGGACGATGGACCCTAAAACTACAAAAGATCTCATGACTGTGGGGCTTCTTATCCAAATGTCGGCAAAGACATACTATACACTAAGCTTTTGTAGAAAACCATGGCTATTTTCACAGTAACCATTGACGTACAATCATCAAAGGAATACAGTGTGCCATTCCACTCGTTTAAACTTTCTTGAACTCTAAATTGGACGCTTTCAAGTTCATATTTAGGCCATTTTCTAAGGTTATAACTGTTATAACTTCGAATCGACACTCGAAACCACTCTGTCTCCGCAATACCCCAATCTCTGTTTCGATCTTCTTCTTCTTGAGATGAGAGTAAATAAAAAACTGAATTCTTTTTGTTTTATGCTTTTCTTTTTCAAACTGAAATTTCGAAATGGAAGGCTAAACTAGAATCAAAAGCTAAAATATTTTTTTAGGAATGCTAAACTAGAATCATAAGTTCATATATGGAATCTATACATGAAAAACACGCATATAAGCTTTCAATTGGCAAACAAAACTAATTATATCTTTTCTTTACTTACCGTAAGATTTCAACCGTTTGCCTCTGTCAACCTTTTGCCTCCTTCAGCCGTTTGCCTCTGTCAGCTGCACAGATCAAATGGAAGAGAAATCAAAGAAGAAAAAAGAAATCGAGGG